CAATACGAAGGAAGGCAAAAAATTCCCAAGAATCCTTGTAATGTGTGCTGCCACCTGGAGGGATATCTCTGCCTATGCTATGAGTTCCTGACTTCTGCAGCTGAGGAGGAGATCGCTGCTGCCATTGATGAATTTTTGTGCATGTGATGCCCCTGGCTGCCTAGCAGGGAGGCAGTTGCATGCTCAGTAAAGTTCTGCACTGCCCCCTGCCTTGCTGTGTGTTGGGGCCAGAAAGTCTTGGGGCAGGGGGAAGCTCACTGAAGCAGGGTAGGCAGGAAAGGGAGGGCAGGGAAGAGCATGACCCTCCCTCCCTGCGGGACTCTTGGCTCCAGGTGTGCAGCCCAGAGGCACGTAGATGAGTTGGCATGGGCATGGGTGGCTTCAGAGCTCCCTTCCCCTTCCTCCTCCTCCCTGTATGGGGCTTATCAGATGGGTGTGTCAAGCAGTCCCAGCAGTCTGACTCTGTTCCTAATGGTGGTGAGGAGGTTTGGCTGCCTGTAGTGCTCCAAGGTATGGTAGCACAGCACCTGCTGCCTGGTTAGTGGCCCCCTCTGAGGAGGAGCTAGAGCTGCTTTCACAGGGTGCATGGCCGGAGTTGGTGGGACAGGTGTCAGACTGGGCTACCTGTGCTGCCAGCTGAGGCTGAGGGCAGGAAGCACACTGAATCCTGTCCTGGTGCCCTGAGGGGCTCTCCCCCAGAGAGTCTTCATCAGCTCTGGCCCGCAGTGCTGGCTTCAGGAACCTGCCTGTGCTGGAGTAGACATACCAGCTGTGTCCACATTCCCTCATGGCCAGGATGAGGTCCAGTTGCTGCATGAAGAGCATGGTCCTGGCAGCCCTGGACCACTAGTTGTGGTCTGTGACATGGACCCACTGAACCTGTTGGGCCTTGATTTTGATGTGGTACTGCTGCCCAGACTGCTTGTGGCTGTGCTGCTGCATGTGGAATGCCATGGCCTCATAGATGTGGGCTGATGTGGGCATCAGGGACACTTCTATCCCAGGTGCTGGCAGGGGCCTTGGGGGCTTAGACAGGGACACTGGGTGCCATCAGCACTTGCCATATGCCTGCAGCAGAAAGGCATGGTGCCTGGGGGCCAGGCAGCCAGAGGCATGGGCTCCAGGGGCAGCTAGCCTATGCCTGGAGAGTCAGGCCAGGGATCTGAAGGGCAGCTTGGCCCAGCTATGGAGGAATCCCTGTCATGTGGCTCTGCCCTAGGCAGGAGGCTAGTCCCCTGCTGGTGAAGCTGAACAGAAGCAGATTTGCTCCCGTGAGCTTCTACATGTGCACTAGTGTGCAGTAGCTGCTGCATGGTTAATCTACTACCTGTATCTACAGGTACTAGCTAATCACACAGTAAACTAATTTACTTCAGAGTAAATGTCATGCATGTGTAGACAGTGATGCTTTATTGCTAAGTAGATTAGTCTACTGTGCAGTAAAGTATTTCATGTAGATGCGCCCTGGGTGTAGTTTTACAGAAATTAAAAATAAATATTGTAGATTATACCTGTTGAAAAAGTGTCAAATTGTATCACAGGCATCTGATCTTCTTAAACTGCAGGCAAATATACAACACAGTTTTTCTCATACATGTGATGATAATGGAGTGGACATTCAACCTACCACTAAACATATCATGTTAAACTTCAATTAATGCTGAAAAAGCAAATGTTATGGCAGTTCAGAGGGTAAAATATATAATCTTTAGTTGATTTAGTTGTAAATAACCTATTCTGAATGTTTTCTGCTTGATATTACAAGCTGACAGTCTATTCATAGGTCCTGATTCAGTAAGGTGATCCCTGTTCTTGAAACACTTAAGCATTTGCAGGAATCCCATTGACCTAATGAGATCAAAGCACACACTGCAAGTCAATCAAATTCTTTAAATGCTTTTCTGAACAGGAGACATGGAAGTTAAAACTGAATAGTCTTTGTTTTGTTTCAGGCTGACAAGAAAGACAAGAATAATGCCCTGGATAGTGCAATAGATAACATGTGCAAGAAAACGAGAGACCTTCGCAGACAGGTAAACATTTTGAGGACAAAAATTGCTGAAAAGTACATTTATCCACACACACATCTTCCTGTATTTGACAGCATTACAATTGAAAACTCTGAGATAAAAATCCTCAGCTGTATACAAGAAATACTGAAAAGTACTTAGGATGTTATTGGGAATATGCAAATCCAATAAATATGTGTGTGTTTATCCAAACACTATATGTATGTGTACATGCTTGTATAATATTCACATCTTTTTCCAGAAAATTTCTGGTTTACAGATTTTTGGATAATAAATGGAATTGCATGAAATTTTGAACAATTGTAAAATTTCACAATTTTTTTTGTATCTGGATATTTGTTTAAAAACATAGCAATACTGCTTTTGCTTGAAAATTCAAACCTGTGGATTGCATAACAGCTGTATGAGGAAGAGATTAGCAACATAGTATGCCTTGGGGCCATGTTCTCTGGAAAATTAATTCCTGAGCTGGAAATCATTAAATCCTGAATTCTGTTCCTGCCTCTGTCACTTACAGCACTTTACAAACATAAGCTAATTGCAGCTCAAACCCTCATCTGTAATACATAAAAATAATTATTCCCTGTTTTTTTCTGTAGCTTTTACATGGTGTTTCAGGCTAGAGTGGATGAAATGAAATATGGAATGGGAACTTTTGCAATAAATATTTTTGTATTGGTTTTGCTTGCCTCAGCTAGAAGGATTGGGGGCTTAGTTTGCATTGTCCAATGGGTAATGCAATGTTCTACATTTCCATGAGTTGCTGATGTTTCAGTTTCACATGTGACTTTATGAAGGTGATCCAGTGACATTATGTACCAATCTGTGCCATAGATGCATGTTGCATTTCTCCCAGCACAGAAAGAGCATACAATCACTCAAAAGTTGGCAAAGGGTTTCTTGCCAGAAGAGAACTAGATCTTTTGCAAGAAAATTAGATCACTTCTGACTAGGGAGATCTCTCCACTGCTGCACTAACTGGAATGAACGTATGATTCTGTCAGGTGTGGAGGTCACCCAGTGTTCCAGAGTCCTCCATCTCCCTTACTCCTGCTCTCCCCCCAAAGGTGGAGGCAGTGAAAGAAGGAGAGCACTGGCTCCATGATATCTCACTCATGGAACAGATGATCATTCCATCTCCTTGGCTATTGTTTTAGTATTAAGAATTGCATTGAAATATTACTTTGTCCATGGCTTGTGGCAGTACTGAGTGCAAAATGACAGAATGCATGTAAGTCCACCATAGTCAAGCTGAGACATCTACCATCTGATAGGCCTTCATGGCTGTGTCCAGTTGAGCATAGCTGTGCAGTATGTGGTGCCGCAGAAATGTCTGTGGTGGCACATATCACACATTCAGTTGTTCTCTGTACTGCAAAGGAGCAGCACAGGTTTTTGGTTTGCTTTTTTTTTTTGACCTCTGGATATCTAGGGCTCAAAAAACCTGGGCAAAAAAAAAAAAGCGAAGCAGGACATGCAGGGGCAGCATGTGCCACTCAAAACCAGAGCCTGGCTGGCTGGAGCCACACTCCAGCTACCGGCCAGGCTCCAAGTGACAGGATCGCCAATGCTGCAGTCCCAGGAGGCCACCGGGACCCGAGGTAAGGCTCCTGGGGCCAGCACAGTGCTGGCCCCAGCCTCCCCTACCCCACCCAGAGTAAATTGCCACATGCCTTGTAAAAGATACAGAAACCCGCCCCCAGGGAATAATTATTTCGGCATTGCACAGGCATTCCCTGGAGACAACTACTGGTGGCACAAGGTGTCCTGCTGCAAGTTGTCCTTGGGGAACCAAAAGTCCATGCTTGTGTGGACGCAACTCATAGGCGCATCCATACATGTAAGCACGTGCACTTGCAGTAGCTGAAATAGAAGTGGTGCTAATTTGAGCCAGGGCTTTTGGCTTCAGCGCACATGCCTGGACATGCACTTTCGTGTGGGGCAAATTGATGTCAGGCAGCTGGGGCCACTGCAGCTGTCACCTGGCACTGTGCAGCGGGGGCTCTTCCACTAGGCCCCAGTGACCCCAACAGCAGCTGAGTGTGGGGATTTTTTAAAAATATTATTTTAATTCCCAGGATGCTGGGGTTGGGCGGGGCAGTTATCGGGGCAGGCAGGGGATGGAGCTGAGCAGGGCAACTATTGGGAGTGCTCAGGGTGCAGGTGGAGACAAGGCCAGAAGGTGCAGTTATCTGGGGGACTGGGGGAGTGGGCAGGGCCAGTGGGGGTCCCCCTATGGTCCCTCCCTCCTCCAGCCCCCATCACCCCCTACTTACGGCAGGACCCCAGGTCCAGCTCACTGTGGCTGGCACACTGTCTGCTCTGCATGGACAGGTAGCGTGCTTCAGCACCAGGGTGAGAGCCAGCCATACAGATGCTCTGGCTGGCTACCAGAGCTTCCCTGTAGAGGACTAAGCCTCCAGTTGCTTCCCCCCCCCCGTGGTCTGGGACTGTGCCTCACCCTGGTTTTTTCCCCCTCGCAGTTTTTTTGATCCCTGAATATCCAGGGCCTAATTTTGCCCCTGCACTGCAAATTTGCAGCATGGGGAATTTTTTTCATTTCCACATGTGCCTCTCGCAGTGTCTCAAAGGGCTTTGAGATGTTGCAAGATGCACATGCATGTTCATGTGGACATGCCGAATGACTAGTTCCACAAATCCACCAGCCACTTCACTGGTAACTAAAGGGCAAAATGAAGGAAGGTTTTCTTCTGACATATCTCAGTTCTAATGGGTGTGTCTCATTTAAAATGGCATGCTCTAGCAGTTTGGGGATTTTTTTAATCATTTTTTTTTTCAAATAAAAAGGTGTTCAGTCATGAAAAGCTGGCCAATAATTTTGATACTTTAAACTATTTCATATTGTTTATAACATTATTTATACCACTCCACAGTTGTGCATAGCACTTTTACAAAATATTTACCTGCATGCTGTACTGCTTAGATCAGTGGGGCCAACTTTTTTTGGCAAACATGCCATAGAGTAAGACCTTTGTCCTGTCTAAGTACCAGTCCAGTCCCATTCTCCCATATGATCTGCTGCTCTGCTTTTTGTTCCCTTCCCTATCTGCTGCTGTGTCCCCTGATCCCTTTCAAATGTGCCATGTATCATGCACATAGGATGTCTGTACCATTTCTGGAACTCCTGCCATAGGTTGGCCATCCCTGGCTTAGATCAGTACTATTTTTTTATTTTTTTTACCGAGAAAAGTTGTGCCTATTAAGAAAGGGACACCACATTGGGCTCCTATCCATGTGCAGAGAAGCTGTTCTGACATGCTGTAAGTACAGTGCATCAGAACAGACTCAATTGAGTCAGCTGGAGTGTGGTAATTACTGTGCTCTGGCAGACTCCAGCATCACATGTATCAGTGTCACAACACTGAAAAATGGTGGCAGGGCACTTTAAAGTTAAGCTTGTTCAATGAGCTTTAGTTCAAAGTGCTCTGCCACCATTTTTCAGTGTGGGGATGCTGATGCACATGATATTCTGGGTTCTTTTAATTAGTGTGGTTTTTGGAGCACATGTATAAATGCCCATTCATTCCAATATCTGCTTTTGTGCTTTTTGACATTGTCGGTGTCAAGTCTTCCCTTCCAGTTGTTTCTCATTGTATTCTGGATGATTTGATGTACTGTGCATATCTGATTCTCCCATAGTTATATAGTTATTTTCTGGAAGTGTTCTTTGAGCAGCTATTCCAATATGGGTAGCCTCCTTCTCTGTGATAGCGTTTTTGTACGTACTGCAGATTGCATTGTCAATGCCCCTTGTGTGTAAGAGGGAAGATATCTCTTACAGATAATGAATTTGATTTTTTTTCTGATCTTTTCCCAGTATTGAGTGAGAGAAAATGCAGGTTTCTGCAGTCATCAAAGCATTGGTGTCAATAGCCTCCTGTGTAGGTCTTATAGCCCCTGATTTTTATAAACTGTGAGTTTTTTCTGTATGGTTATTTGACACTTCAGTACCAAATTAAATATGTTCAGATTCATAGATGTAGGGTTGAAAGAGACCTAAGTAGCTCTTCAAATCTGAACCCCTGCCCTGGGCAGGAGAGACTACTGGGCTCATATGACCCCAGCTAGGTAACTATCCAGCCTCCTCTTAAAGACCCCCAGGATAGGAGTCAGCACCACTTCCCTTGGAAGTTGGTTCCAGATCCTAGCTGCCCTGACTGTGAAGTAGTGCCTTCTAATGTCCAGCCTGGACCTAATCTCAAATGACTTATGGCTGTTATTCCTTGTTACTCTGGGAGGTGCTTGGGGGAACAAGGTCTCTCCCATACCCTGCTGGTTCCCCTGGTAAGTTTATAGATGGCCACCAGGTCCCCTCTCAGCCTTCTCTTGTGAAGGCTGAACAGGTTCAGGTCCCGTAGCCTCTCCTTATAGGGTCTGCCCTGCTGTCCCCAGATCATACAAGTGGCCCTCCTCTGGACCCTCTCAATGCTGGCCACACCCCTCCTAAAGTGCAGTGCTGAGAACTGGATGCAGTACTCAAACTGTGGCCTGACCATAGAGGGGGAGGATCACCTCCTTGGCCCTGCTTGTGATGCATCTGTGGATCCATGACAACATTGCCTTGACAGGTCAGGCCAACACTCAGGATCTCAATATTGCACTTTTAGACAGGAGGGCATGGTGTACAATTGCAAATGTACAAAAA